CGTACTTTATGCTCAAACTTAAGAGGCATTGACCCTGCAAAACTGTATCGAGCCACCTTAATTTATAATTTTTTATTCTACCGTTATTGTAATTATTTCAGAAATGTAATAACTGGCCGCTCAGTAGAGGGAGGCGGCATAATAGGTGGCCGCCTAATGAAGGTTCATGTATTTTATACCAACTCATTGTGTTTAGTATAATAGAGCGACATTGGCGTAGAGTACAGTAGCCTAGTTATGTCCGGCAAATCAGTGAAACGAAACTGGGGCGAAAACAGTGGAGGAAATAAAATTTGTTTACCATGATTATGTTGAGTTTCCGCTATTTTTTATTGTCACGTAGGGCTTTATGTTAAGCAACTAAATTGTTTTTTTAAAAGTGCTAGTTAGTGATATGACCGCTGTAATGACTAGTTTACTTAGGATTATCATTGGTTGTTTGAGAGGAGTTTGCAGGTGTTGCAAACGACTTCCCGTTCAGGTTATTGCTAACAACCTTCACAAAACACGTACGCACTTTGAGCGCGGTCTGACAAATGTTATTACTTTCCACAACTATCACTACTGCTGTACTATTTTCTCTTAGGATTTCGTTCAGGATTACGAAGGAGCAAGGAAACTTGGTGAGACCACGTCACTCTATAATTTTCCTTTCTCTTAGAAAACTGTCCTCCTCACGTCCTTTTTCAAGTGTGCTATTTAAAAATGGCACAATTTGCTTTTATAAAGGGCTTCATAAAAGTAACGCTTATATTTACTTGATTTTTAAACCGTTTCAAATCTAGCTAGACTTTCATAGAAAATGCGACCACCCAAAAGTCCTTGTTGTTCACCAAGTTTATTTTTTTTTTCTTTGAAAAAAGAAAAATGCATCAGCTGCATTTTTCGTTCCTTTCTCCTCGCTCTCTCTCGCTGTACAAGCTAAGACATGAGCCTACACCGGGGGCCCGTTTCCCAGACTTAAAGTCTCGCAGCTTTTAAGGCCTGAGGCCAGATATTAAAAATAAAATCTGAATAATGAAAGCGTGGGTCCTAGTTAAAAAGAAAAACAAACAAACAAACAAAACAAAAGAAACAAACAAACAAAAAACAAAAAAGCAGTCCATTTTGTTTGGTAACCAATGGGTATGTTATCGGTGATCGGTGACCGGTAATTGCCGGAACTTCCGAGGAAAGGACCCCCGACCCGATGGGAGCGACGGAAATTGAGCCTACATATTTTTACTCCTTTTACAGTTTTCGCCAAATGGACTTCAACAAGTGGAACGTCTTCTGGAGTTTGTGCTTTGGGCTGTTGTCCTTTCTAATCATCGTTGGAAATGCTATATCCATATCAATACTTTTCAAGAGAAGGCTACGAAAGCGTCCTCATTTCTTGTTAATTAGCTTGGCTTTCGCTGATCTCTTGATTGGATTAATCCCAGTGCCACTTTACATCATGATTCATTCAATACTCACGATATCGAATTTTTGGTTTGGTTTACATTCGCGGGGATATGTTTGCAGGCTTAAGCTCGGTCTTCACCCTGGCGGCTACTTCCCTAAAAAGACTACACGCAATTGCTCGCCCTCTTCGCCATCGACAACTCACCTTACGCAGCTATGCCGCAGATTGCCATAGTAACCCCATGGATCTTATCGTGACTTTAGTTCCCGTTTTTCCCTTTATAACCTATATTCAGGCCAGTTCTGTGATAATTATTAGCTTGTCAACACCTTTGTTGATAACTTGCATTTCCTATTGTATTATTTGGAGGAAGCAATCTTATAGAAATCCCAATGAAGCTCAAGCAAGAAAGAATGTTCACTTAAATAAGACGCTGCTACTGATAACCACAATATTTGTTCTGTCATGGTTGCCTTTTCAAGTTTTAGCAGCTGTTTTAAATTTCTGCATCTCGTGTCGACGTTTAAACAAAACTCTGATAATTTTACTATATGTTATTAAGCTTCTTCACTATAGCAATTCCTTTATGAATTTTCTAGTTTATTGTTTTAGAATGTCAGATTACAGAAAAGCGCTTTCACGAATGTTTCCCCAAATGCAGATGCAGCCTTTAAAGAGTCGTCGAGTCTCAGTTTTATCTGCTGGTCCACACTGAAGCAGGTCCCGTGCTTAATATCTATCTCATTTACTCTATTATTAAGCAATTTTTCTAATTTTTATTTTTATTATTTTTAATTTCAAGCAATTTTTATTATAGACGCATGCAGGCAGTAAGTATTGACAAAAAAATAAAGTGAGTTTTAGGGAAAGATATTTCCAGTAGTGTCCAACAAGTAATCAGTGTCTTGCATTAAAATAAAAGTAAGTTTGCACTCAGTAGAACCCATGTATTTCCCTTACTATTGATTGTAGTTTACAAGGAAAGACATTGTAAATTTACAATTTTGTCGTGGTTTCATTGATTGTTATCATGAAAGAATGAACTTGGGATCGATGTCAAATGTTAACTGAATAACAATACTATATCAAACATTGCCATCTGAGTATGAACTTTTAATCATTATGTTTTGTGTATGGGTTTTTAAATTACGTTTCTCAAATTAAGTACTTTTATTTTAGAAATTTAAATTAATTTTCTCAAATTAAGTAATTTTATTCTAGAAATTTCTACGTAAATTGACAGGTAAAAATCGTATTAGTTTTTTCTCCCCCTGTCTCTTTCTGCTGGAGTGTGACCTTTTTGACAAAGACATCAGTTTAATTGACGTTTGGATCTGTAGGCGCGGTGACGCGTTTTCCTTTTGATAGGTGTGACTCTTCGACTAATGAAATCCCATCTACCGGTAAGAATTAACATGTTCCAAGGTTTAGGTGCCGCAATACTGCATGAAAGGTTTGTCAATATACCTTGCTTTTTACCGCGACATCGGTAGGATAAAATCCTTTTGTCATTTCCTAACTTCAGGGACCGCGGAGGGGAAGGGGCTGGTAGGGCCGCGGCCCCACCACTTTTTTGCGCCCCCGCCCCCACTTTTTGTGCTAAAAAGAAAAAATAATTAAAATTTAAAAAAAGACTTGAAACAAGTTTTTTTCCGTCTATATTCCGCTATATTCTCTGTATTTTCTTTAATTTCAAACGCCAGGCATTTTGTGAGGCTCCTGTGCTTTTCGCGGTAATTGTGCCCTGGGGCCAACTTACCCCTTGATCAAACGCCATGCCTTGGCCACTCCTTCGCTTCGTTCGGCAGCGTGTTTTGTACTTCCAGCTTCCAGCAAAGTTTTTTATCAGTTTTATCAGACGAAATGAAGAAAATTACTAGCTTTTTCAAGCCAAACAAAGGTGAGTAGTTATTTTGAGTTGATAAAAGTTTTATATTTTGTCTTTCTCCTTTCGAATCAATGAAATATTCGATGGCAAGAACATGAAACAGCAGCGATTCAACAACTTGACAGTACTTAATTGTTATAAGAAATCAACGGAAAGCTTGGACGTGATTCAGATCGCAAACACATTTGCCGGACGGAATGAAAATCGTATGAAGAATTTCGGTATCTTCACTAATGCCGACCTATAAAGAGCAACAAATACTGGATAAAGTATGCAAAGTCACGCGACAGAAACAAATCAAATACTATGATTTTATTCCTTTTTTAGATTTTCAATATGAAAAAATAATTTTCAATTGTCAGCCCTCCCACGTTTCACCTTGCTCCGCGGTCCCTGAACTTACATAGTGACATCTCTTTTTAATGGTTTTCGCAACGTTCCTGTTATCAAAAGGATTATTTCAAAGTAAACAATTGTTACTACTCTTAGCGTAGGTTAATTTATGGACTAAATAGGCGGGACACGTTTTTCTGTTTTTATATACTCACTTGCAAGTGCTGTACACAAATTGTACAGTTTCGCCTCTAGCTAACAATTTTGTAAAATTAATATACCTTAGAATTTTGTAAATTTTCAGTCTTAATTGTTAGAAACAATCTTAAGTTTGTAACTTTATCTTTGCCTTTTTTACTTCCGTACACTACTGAACGATTGCTTGGCCTTATTCTAATACGTTAATCGTCATGAAAAAAATTAGATTAGACTGATGTATGACTGTCTGTGAAGGAAAACTACTTTTACGGTCGCGGATTCATAAATTTCTGAACGAGCTCCTAAGAGGCAGATCAATTCTGGTCTAATCGTGTCAGATGTTGGACAATCGCAACCAGAATGAAATGAATAACAAAAATATAGATGATTTGAGATTTATTTAGAAGGAAAGATTTTCCCTAAGTTTCAGTCAGCACCAGCCTTTTGTTTGAGTTGAGTGAAAGTCTAGGAATATGACAACATTTTTGATTTTTTTTTCCTGTACCTGGCACCAGGAGCCCATAAGCTTATGGTGTTCTGCTGCCACCGATTATCAAATTGGAACGATAAATATTTTTATACACTCCCGTAGTTCCCCCGAAAACTATCTAATTCCAGACCTAAATGGGCAAAGTCTATACCCGTTTTCAGACCAAAACAACGCAAAGCCTCTACCCTTTGGGGTGGCCTATACATATGTGGCTTGTATAAGGGAGTACCCCCTGGGGGGAAGTAATGGAATGCTGACGGAGAAGGTCGGAGAAGGTTCCAACTTAACAGGTGAGTGGTGATGACGTGTCACATATGACGTCATACAATATAGGCTGAGAAATTTTCCACTTTTATTGATATCATGCATGCTGTTTCACGTTAACCTTCGTTTTACACTCATAACGTTTTTGTTTCTGCTTTAAAAAAATCGCAGTTGATTGTTGTCAGTAAAGTCGAACCGTCATGTGCGACCACCTTCCATAAGCGACCACCAGGATCCGGCAAAACACAAAACCATCCCCAGACAAATCCCTATAATCAGAATCTCTCGTAAACGTTTTTAACCTCTTGTAAGCGCCACTTGAGGCACGGCCATGGTTTGATCACTATATTCGCTGAATGTCCTATACTACTCACAGTATGCGACCTTCAGTGTGCCTCAGTCACCTTAAAATTTGCCTCTAAGCTAATTTTCTCATGCTATTTTGGACAGTTATTTAAAATTGCGACGGCTTCTTTATTACAAAGTGCGACACAGTTATTACAAATTGCGACAGTGCGAACTAACGGTAAGTTTTGAAGACATTAAAAATTTGGATATGAGGATCTACTAATTATCATCTCTCTACTAAGCTACTAGCCAAACATGGTAAACCCAACCTACCTCCTTTCATCTTCTTGATACAACAGACGGATACAGAACATGTTTTAAACTGTCTTGGGATCATTCCATCTTTCGTGCACCCCATTTTCCCCCTCCCCTAAAAAGGAGAACGATTTCGGTAAGGTTTGAATAAACCCTTTTGCAACTTTGAATTTAGGTAAGTTGAAACCACCATTTTAGCGCACAGTTGAACGTCCATGCAGCCACACTCGGGGCACCGCCAAGTGGCTTCTTGATGGCTGTTGGCCACTCAACGATTGGATTAATCTTAACCCTTGGACGTACAGGAGAGGGAGGGGGTAGGTGGCTGCCACCCCCCCCGTAAGATTTTTCTGATTTTTTTTCTTAGACGATAAAATATCAGCACCGGCCTGAAGTTTTCTGTAGCTGTTCGTTTATCCTTCGCGCACATTTTGAGACAAGTTTAGTGATGGTCAGTTACTAGCGGGGCTCCCGCGCGCGCGAAGCGCGCGTGGGACAGAGCCCCATACTCATGGAATATGGTCAACCTCTTTTCGTTTGGTTGTCACGTGATTGACCGAGCGTACGTACGTACGTACGTACGTACATACGTACGTACGCGTCTACAGATTGTACGGGTGGGGTAGGGAAGACTATCAAAAGGAAGGGAGGAGTGTCTCAGGCGTGTCTTGGCAAGTGGCCATCTTTAATATAGGATTTTAGGACATTCACAATATGGTCAATTGACAGCTGTCAAAAGAGGATAGCCACTGACCAGTATCCCATGACCATATCGCGGGCTCATGTGTCAACTCATCGAGGTGACGTGATTTATTTGGAAACTGTCCGCTGACCAGTTAATTGTTTTACTAGATCGCGAACAATGTTCAATCTCATACTTTTACTAGTTAAACTGATAATGCACACATATTGGACATCAATGTTTTGATCAATTGACAGCTGTCAAAACAGGGTACCCGCTGACCAGTATCACTTGACCGTATCGCGGGCTCAGGTGTCGACCCATCGAGGTCAAGTATTTTTTTGAAGTTATCCGCTGACAAGTTACTAGTTTTCAAGTGATCGCAGGCTCAAGTTCAAGTTTTTTCTAAATTCATATGAAATATGTTGTGTTTATGTGCTACACAATTAAAATTTTGATTGCAAACTGACCTCGGACGCGAAAATTCAGCCAGCTGTTACAGGCAGGGAAGACAGTTGCTTTTGACTTTTCTCACCATGGTCACGCGTTGGTCACGCTCTACGTCCAATTTTTATGCTCTGATTGGTCAAAATTTGACAGGTGAGTTCATGCGGAAAATTTATGCAGCATCTTGAATCTTGTTTACTTTGACAGCTGAAGCTGACAGAGTTTTGTGTCAACTTGTGATGTTTTTAACTGTCTTTTTCCACTGGATGTGCAAAATGAAATTCAGCTGCTATCAGGAGTCCTCTGTTATTCATGGCTAGTTTGTTTATTGGGTTTTTGGTTGAGGAATACGTCGCTTGTCAAAGTCGGAAATCCGATTTCGGATGGCATCGTTTTCGTTTTCACCTTGCTTGATGCGTAAGAGGATTGCAAAGTCTGAAGCGATACTGGCTTTTCTTGATACCTTTCAGGAGCTGCATCTCGAATGGTAAGCCAGAGAAATTATTGTATTTGATGTTTGTTTTTTTGGATCTAATTTAATGAAGTCGAGCGGAGTTTATGCGGTCATTTAGTTTATGCACGTTTGTAAGATTTGAGACAATGATCTGACCGAGTATCAGGTTTGATATAAGCTTACAGAACTTTAAAAAGCCTTTAGACAGTTTCTCACCGCAAATAGAAAGAAAACGTTCCAAAGAATATTTAGTTATAATTCTGGCCGGAAAAGAAAGCTTTGAGCGATTTTCTTGCCTCGAGTTCGTCTTTGAAAAAAGCAAACACCGGGAAGCCGGCTTAAAACATAAACTTAAGCTTGAAGCTTGAAGACTCAGGATTTTTAGGGATACTTTAATACTTGTCTTCCTGAATGAAAATTGTTGTTTCTGTATATGTTTCACCGAATTATATTTCTTTTATTGATTGTTAGTAGTCTCTCTTGTAATTTTAATCGCTGTGCCGATTGTTTTCAGTCGTTCAGTGAACATCGCTTGCAGGAGTACTCAAAATGCCGCGCGTTAATAAACCATTAAATAAAAAATAAACAGAATAAATTCTTTATAATGTTGGAGCGTAACTCTGTTAATGTTCATTCAAACACTCGCCACAGCTCGCACTACAAAAGTGAGAACCGGATGGCCGTATAGGTGATTTTGGAAATTTTTTTAACAGTTTATGAATATTGAATGAGTGCAATTTGTATTGTGAAATACTGCTTTCTGTCCAAGGTCTGCCGGTATGATAAAAACAGCGCCTCATACTACTGTTTCACCTCAGATGTGATGTATAAATGGTATAAAAGGTTGGTTTACACGCACCCAGATTTGTTGACAAGATTTTGCAAAGTAAACTTGTCGAACGCAAAAAAGTTGGCCTGATTTTTTTTTCCACTAATTAATCTACGGTGATCAAGAGCCATTATGGCTCTTAAATGTGATCGAAGATGATTACCAGTTTTTGGGTGTACATATGAGGCTATCAACTCGATGTATTATTTGATTCACTCTTGGGCTGTTTGCAAATTATTTTTCTCTAAAATCAGGTAGCCTTTCCCTCAAAAGTCACATAAATGTGTTCTAAAGTTAACTGAATTGTGGAATTCGAATACAAGTTTATTATTTAATTTAAATTATAAATTTATTAATGGGAGCCTCGCTTTTAGCCCTGGCTAAATCTATATATTATGGTTACGAGATATGACGTCATAAGTAGCAAGTGGTCGAGCCTTTTTTGAGTGAAAATGCATGTTTTTTCAACTTTGTTCAACAATAAAAGTAAAACTTGTGGATGAAATGATGCAAAGTAATTATTAATGTGTTATTTTACATGTTAAGCGCAAAAAATTATTAATTCTCACTGTTTTTACCTGACTTCTAATGCTTGATAAAATCCAACATGGCGACCATGTTTGGTGACGTCACAGACCTCCAACACCGCCACAACTCATAAAATATACCTCATCTTGTAGAGAAGATCAAAGGCTTTTCACTGAAGGCAAAACCGTTTCGAAATAGTGCAACATACCAAAAACCCAAGGGGGGAGGGTTCCATCACCCCCCCCCCCCCCTTGTACCACGATAGGGGTATGACTTTACGTGTACGTCCGAGGGTTAATTAGCAGAAACATCATTAAAAAAACAACAAACAAATAAACAGGCGACGGGAGCGGCATTACTGATCATTACACAACCGGTCATCATGACTGTATTTTCCTTCCCCATATTTTGAGAATGTATCAAGCGGTTGATAGCCATTAAAACAGAGGCTTAATTTTCAATTTTTCATTCTACCGTCATTATTTTGGAAATTTAATAAGTGGCCACTCAATAAAATGAGGCAGCATAATAGCTGGCCGCTTAATGGAGGTTCATTAACAGTTAATGAATGAGGTTGAGTATCTTATGAAGAATTATTGAGATCGAGGAGGGTGTTATCCGTCAACGCCATAGGCCGAGGCGGATAACACCCTCCGAGATCTCCATAATTCTTCATATGATACGAAAGCCGAATTCAATAACTGTTTTATTATTCATTCAAAATAATTCCTAGTTTAAAAACATAGCTAAAACATGCTTACCTCCATCGATCCATCGATGCTCAGTTCATCTTCGATACTGTACGTTTAGGTTTGTCCAGCTCCGCAAATATTCTCCAGATAACAGATGTCGCCCTTCGAGTTGTCTTCTTGCTGTTCTTTCCATGTTTTTAGCTATGTTTTCGCCTAGTTCTTACTCTTGAAACGGGTGAAATTAAATGTCCGCCATTTTTTCAAGTTCCCAACCAAAACAACTCAACCTCGTCCCCAGGTCTTCTCGGTTAACGGTGCCTTAACCTGCGAAAAGCTGCATTTTTGACGTCATTTCCTCATTAAAGTCAAATTTCTTCCAAATTTGGTCAACAGTAACTGGTTATGGTGAATTAAACGTGTGCTTTTAGCCAATCAGAATCGGGGAAATATTTTTGAATGAATAATAATGTATTTTAAATCAACTCTTTGCGTTTAGTATAATAGAGCGACGCTGGCGTAGAGTACAGTAGCCTAGTTATGTCCGGAAAATCAGTGAAACGAAAGTGGGGCGAAAACGGTGGCAGGAAATAAAACTTGCTTACCATGATTATGTTGAGTTTTCGCTATTTTTTATTGTCATATAGGGCTTTATGTTAAACAACTAAATTGTTTTTTGTTTTTTTTTTAAACCAGACAGCCATGCGTGTTAATGATATGACCGCTGTAATGACTAGTTTAGTTAGGATTATTATTGGTTGTTTGAGAAGAGTTTGCAGGTGTCGCCCACGACTTCCCTCTCAGGTTATTGCTAACAACCATCACAAAACACGTACGCAGTTTGAGCGCGGTCTGACATTACTTTCCACAGCTATCAGTACCGTTGTACTTTTTTCTCTTAGGATTTCGTTTAGGATTACGAAGAAGCACGGAAACTTGGTGAGACAACGTCTGTAATTTTACTTTCTCTTAGAAAACTGTCTTCTTCACGTCTTTTTTGTACTATTTAATTAAAAATGGCACAATTTGCTTTTATGAACGGCTTCATGAAATTAAAGTAGCGCCTATATTTACTTAATTTTTGAACCGTTTCAATTTTACAAACATAAATCTAGCTGGACTTTCATAGATAACGGGACTACCCAAAACTCGTTGTTGTTCAAGCAAGTGTTGTTTTGTCGTTCAAAAACGAAAAGTGCGTCAGTTGCATTTTTCTTCCTTTCCTCTCCTAATCCTTTCTCCTCGCTCTCTCTCGCTGTACATGCAAGCTATGTAAAGCTAAGACATGAGCCTACACCAGGGGGCCGTTTCCCAAACTTAAAGTCCCACAGCTTTTCAGGCCCGAGCCAAAATCTGAACAATGAAAGCGCGGGTCCTAGTTCAAAAACAAAACAAAACAAAAGAAACAAACAAACAAACAAAAAACACAAAAAAGCAGTCCATTTTGTTTGGTGACCGATGGGTATGTTATCGGTGACCGGTAATTGCCGAAACTTCCGAGGAAAGGACCCGGGACACGATGGGAACGACGAAAATTGAGCCTACATATTTTTATTCCTTTTACAGTTAAAAATAGGCGCCGTTTTCGCCAAATGGACTTCAAAGAGTGGAACCTCGTCTGGAGTTTGTCTTTTGGGCTGTTGTCCTTTCTAATCATCGTTGGAAATGCTATATCCATATCAATACTTTTCAAGAGAAGGCTACGAAAGCGTCCTCATTTCTTGTTAATTAGCTTGGCTTTCGCGGATCTCTTGGTTGGAATAATTCCAGTGCCACTTTACATCATGAGCCAAGCAGATATACCACATTTTAATTCAACTACTTATGTGGTTTTTTTATGCGTGGATATGTTTGCGGGCTTAAGCTCGGTCTTCACCCTGGCGGCTATTTCCCTGGAAAGACTCCACGCAATTGCTCGCCCTCTTCGCCATAGACAACTCACCTTACGCAGCTATGCAATTGCCATAGCAACCCCATGGATCTTCTCCCTTATTGTTTCGTTATCTTATTTGCTGTCAGTTTTTTCCGTTATAACCTACTTTCAGTTCACTTCTGTGATAATCATTATCTTGTCAACACCTTTGTTGATAACTTGCATTTCCTATTGCATCATTTGGAGGAAGCAATCTTCTAGAATTCCCAATGAAGCTCAAGCAAGAAAGAATGTTCACTTAAATAAGACGCTGCTATTGATAACCGCAATATTTGTTCTCTCATGGCTGCCTTTCCACGTTTTAAATATTGTAGTCCATTTCTGTGCTTCATGTGAAATCTTTCCTGTTAAAGCATATGTTATGAAGTTCCTTCACTATAGCAATTCCTTTATGAATTTTCTAGTTTATTGTTTTAGAATGCCAGATTACAGAAAAGCGCTTTCACGAATGCTTCATAAATGTAGATGCAGTCGTTGAAGAGTCGTCCAGTCTCTTATCCGGTGGTCGACAGTGAAGCAGGTGCCTTGATTTTCAAGCAATTAGTATTTGTAAAATACGATACGTATGTTTTAAGCACTTAAGCGAATTAATTGTAAAATGAAGGGGGTTTTAGAAAAATGTATTTCCAGTATTGTCCAACAAGTAGTTTGTCTGGCATTGAAATAAAAGTTCAGCTTACACTGAGGAGAACCTGTGTTTCCCTTGCTATTGAGTCTACTTTACAAGTCAGATAGACATTGGAAATTTACAGTCAATTTTATCGTGGTTTCATTGATTGTCAGCGTGAGAGAACGAACTTGCGCTTTAATGTCAAATGTTAACGAAATAGCAAAATCATCAAACATTGCTATCCGAGTATGAACTTTCAATACGTATTTCCACTAAGAGGTCATGTGACATCGCTTTTATGAAAATGAAAGTTATATGATTTTCCTTCGAAAAACGATTAGTAGGTCATATATTAAACAAGATAATAGTGATTTGGTTTTTCAAACCCGCACCAGTTTCTTAAAATGAGTAAGTTCGTAGCTGAGCACGTGACCAAAATGTGATTTTTAAAATTATGAATTACCTCTTTCTAAACACAAATTCTTCAAATGTTGAAACGATGATTTGGTAATGTTTACAACACAACTGAGCGTAACTATCAAACGTCTAATAAGATATAAACAAAAAGTAGTTTTGGCCGTCATGTCGGAGGGCAACAGTACGCCTTCCAACATGGCGGCCAATGAAAATATACTACTTTGTTGAAAAATCAAAGTGCCATAAAATATGTCCCTCGAATTAGTTTCCTCTCAAATTTCCGGTGTAAGATAACTTTTATGTGCTCTGTCAAGTTTTGGAATCAGCAAGATTCCAACTCATTGTTTAAAGGAACGTCTGAGAACTCAAACACGCCTACTACCCATTTTAAATATACTGTTACTTTTTAACTAATCATATTAAACATGTAAATATAGGTATGTATTTTTACTTTTATATTCAATAAAAACATTTATTATTATTATTATTATTATTATTATTATTATTAAAAGACATTTATTAGTGCAAGTGGCCTATTATTATTCTTTGAGTATGGTATTTTAAATTACGTTACTTCGCAAATTAAATATTTTGTTCTAGAAATTTATCGGTAAATTCACAGGTAAAAATCGTATCAGTATGGTCTTTTCTCCTCATGTCTCTTTCTGCTGGAGTCTGACCTTTTTGACAAAGTCATCCGTTTCGTTGAAGTTTGGATCTGCTCGCGCGGTGACGCGTTTTCTTTTTGATAGGTGTGACTCTTCGTCTAATGAAATCCACAAGTCTCTTGGCGGTAAGAATTAACGTGTTCCAAGGTTTGGGTGCTGTAACACTGAAAGGTCTCTCAATATACCTGGCTTTTCACCGCGACATCTGTAGGATAAACTGTCCTTTTAATACTTTCTAACTTGCAAGTAACATCATTTTCGATGGTTTTCGCAACGTTCTTGTTAAAGAATTTTTTTAAGTAGAAAACACTGATTCTTACTACTACTAGGCTAAGCATAGGGTAGGCTTTAGGTTGTAGTTTTACATTTATTTTATTATTATTATTTTTAAACGGTTGTATTTTTGATTTTATAGCTTTTCTAGCTCTAGTTTTAGTCTTAATTTTTAATAACATTGGTTGTAAATTTGTTTTAAATTTTCAACTTCAGCCTTTTTAATTCTCAGTTAGAGTCCATTTGTAAGCAATTTTTTATTGTAAGAGAGGTTTTTATCTTTGAGAAGCACTGTAGGGGGGAATTATTTTTATTGATATAGTGCTATAAAAGTAAATAATAATAATAATAATAATAATAATAATAATTATTATTATTATTATTATTATTATTATGGACTGAATAGACGAGAACGTATTTCTGTTGTTATATACATCACAAGTGCTTCACACAAATTGTACAGTTTCTCTTAGAGTAACAGTTTTGTAAATATAACTTAAAATTTTGTAAACATTCCATTTTAATGGTTAAAAACAACCTTTGTAACTTTATGTTTGCCTTTGTTTTACTTCAGTACACTACTGGACGGTTGCTCGGCCTTATAGACCTTGTCACGGTTTTGGAAGCCATCTTGACGAGTAGGCAACCGCGTGAGAAATTACAGTGTTTGTATGTCATGAGAATCTAATGTTTAATAATTTCCGCGTGAAAACGCCTGTTCTGAAAAAAATAAGAATTGTAAACTAAAGCTACACAACAAAGAATTTTACTTATTTCACAACCCTGTTGAAGGTAAAAGACCTTTTTCCATGACCCTGATTCATTTCATTGTTCAAAACTAAATGGTAGAATATCATTATTTTTCGAAAATAAATGTTCCACATACGGAAACCGCTTACCGCCAATGTTCACCCGCCCAATTCAAGCCTTCAGTCCAGAAATACATTTTGTTCAATCAAACCATTGTGTTAAACCAAATTTTAAAATCTAGAGTTATCTTAAAAATTTCACAGCTTGAAAGAGTTTAAGTTATATCTGGAGTATTTCACAATGTTTACAGAAAGTTTGCGTTTGCAATATGCATATCATTCTTGTCATTTGAGAAAAAGATATCTTTTGTTTGATATCTCAGCTGAAAAATTGCCTAATCAGTGATGGATATTCCTTTCGTGTTGCCATGAATGCATTAATGCGTTCTTGACTAAGCTACGGAACAATATCACTGGTGATTGGCCGTGTTCTTCTTTTAACGCAATAAAGGAACAAAGCTAATATTAAGCAGAGAAAGCGATACAATAAAAAAAGAAAAAAACAGACCCTATATTTGACTCTGGGAAAGGAGGGAGGGGTCTAACAAATATGATGACTTTAATACTTGGTATAAGACTACAAAGAGAGTTGCATGCATGGCAATTGCTTAATTAAGAAATCGTATAAAAACGTCTCAAAATCACTATTATTAACTGCGATTTACATGAGAAAAATGACGTTTAAGTGCTGAAATACACGAAACGTTTTTATTATTAACAGTTAAATCCATGCGATAAGTCAAGTTTCAAAACTTAAACTTAAGAAATGGTAAACGTGCAGCGTGCAACCATTTGAGTTATGGATGCACGCGGGAGGCTGCTAAGCACGAAAGAAGCGTAAGAGTCGCACTAGGCGATAGCCGAGTGCGACTCTAGCTTCTTGAGTGCTTAGCAAACCTCCCAAGTGCATCCATAACTCCATGGTTGTACAGCTGCAACGTGAACCATTTCTTTTATATCATAATCAAAATAAAAAAACATTATTTTCCATTTGCCTTCGGTTCAGTCATCGGTCCGAGTTCATGTATGGTGCCATCTGCTCGCGCGTAAACAAATCATGTTCTATGTTTTTCAAAAACTTGCCTTTGAGTTTTTCGTTCGCTGAATCAACCGTTCTCCGTCTTCAGGTAAATTGCAAAACGTTAAATAGTGTCGACAACAAAAACTACATAGGATAACTTTCCATAGGGGGGTGGGGAGGGTGGGTGGAGGTAGTGCGGATGACAGTGCGGATAGAAAAATGAAAAGTCCCAATACATCCGGCTACGTACGTTGTTTCTTGTTTTAAACAGACGAGTCGACGTTTACAATAGTGTTTTTAAGTTTTTAAGTTCTAATGAGTTGACCATGGTAAAGTAAAAGAAAGTTATTTATTATTCTACAAAAAGTGGAGGGGGGGTGGAGGCTGTAAGTTCGGGGGGCCAGCCCCCCCTCCCCCCCCCCCCCTCCCCCCGCTTCCGCCACCTATGACGAGTACAGTTGGGGCAGGCCTAGGAAAGCCTTAATTAGGAGAGGCTCGGCTCGAAAGGGGTGCATTTTTCAGGCTTCAGGTAAATGAAAAGGTAGAGAATTTACGAGTTGAAGTGTACGAAAGAGTAGGAAAATAAAATCATCTTTCAAATGTTAAAAAGGTCCTTTAATTATGATATTCGCAAAAGACGCGCTTTATGACTTTATCGTTTAATTTACTATAAAACGCTTTATGAAAATGACAACAATGCTTCCTATTTATTAGCGATTTATTGTTATCAAGTAAGTAGTGAAAGGGACACTATTTTTCAATGGAAGATATACAAAAGAGGTACCTTTTCTACCAGAAATGGTATCAGTAACCAGCCAGTAAGGGATTGGACCTCGGCAAGGAGCCTTTAACTACAGCTGCCGATGTCGATAGAAAGGAGCCTAATCCGATCCACACCTTACATGAGCTTCCAAAATGTATATGTCAAACTTTCTTAATAAAAGACTATTTTGCCATCACCCTGTGGCCAGTTTATCGGGCATTTATGTTATGTACATAACTTATAACGCTGCATAAATTAAAGAAAATACTGTGATATTATAATTGTAGCTACAGTCTCTCCTCTCCATACAGACACCTCTATAATACGGACACCTCTGTATTACGGATGGTTCGTTTGGTCCCAGAAATGCCAAAAATCATACATTCCCTACCTCTATAATACGGACACCTCTGTAAAGCGGACACTTGGTTCTGTCCCTTTGCTGTCGC